TGGACGCTTCATTTGTCCTTATCCTACACGGGATCCCTCAGGGGATGGTGGTGTCTTTGGACCAAATTCAATCTACTGAGTGTTTTTCTAACAGCTTAAAATGAGGTTGGAAAAAACTTCCACCTTCTCAGCAACCCAACACACAGAACATCTGGTGGGGTTATTATACTTGCTCCTAAAAGAAGGTTTTGAGAGTACAGACAGGAACCCAGAAATAAGGCTCTGGACCAGTGTGGATTCACTCGCAGTCTGAGGGAAGGGTGGCGACGGGTCCCCCTAGCCAAACAGCTAGCTGGTAAGAGTGCGAAAAATCCAATCTGGGCTTTGATCCTTGGTTTACTGACTTCTTCTAAAGAAGAGATTTTTAATTCTGCCTCTTAATCTAAAAAGAAGCAGAGCTGGAGACATTAAGAGAGAAGAATGGCTGGTCAAGCCAAGAGTTTCAGGTGAAACTCTTTTGCCCTCCCACCACCACAGACTAGTGACTTTAGCCTATCAAAAGAAGAGAAAGTAAAGAGAAGGCCTCATGAAGCCACTGTGCAATGTCATGGCCTGAAGGAAGCCTCTATACCTCAAGAGGAAAGGGGGATGAAGGCACATCAGGCTCCAGCTCCTCCTCTCTATCACCATCACCATCACCAAGGCCCATGAACATTTTCAGATTGTGTGGACGGAGAGGCAACCCACCACTGCACTTAGGAAAATAAACATGTGACGCTTGCGAGAATGGCGCTTCCTTCTCCACTGATGAAGAGCTGGTGATAGGATGGGCATCTCAAGACAAGTCTCTCAGCTTTGGGCCTGAGGAGCCCCCAAAAACAAATGAAGTTGAAATATGGTATAAAGATGTCCACATTTGGTTTGGGCACTTAGTGTTAGAGGCTAATTCTAGAAGAAGCAAGGAAGGTCTAGCTAAGAAGGAAAACCTCTCCCAAGATCCAGTCTGGGTCCACATGCAGGACCCCACCCCACAATCTGTCCCCGATGCCTAGATCCCCCTCCCACAGGCCCTGCACGGCCACCACTCCCCAGCCAGACTCCCACCAGTCAATCATTCTTTGTCATCTTGAGATGATCCTCCAGTGTGTACCCTGCACCCCTACAAGTGACTAAGTTATCACATGACTCAAAGAGATGCTGAGGCTTGATGTCCCCTGGGGTGGTCTCACCATCCTAACCCATGCCTGACCTCACCCTCTGTGCCCCTTCCAGCCTCACCAACACCTGGCAAACACATAGGTCTCCCCTCCACCCTCCAGTTCTTCAACTCCCCGTCCTGAAACACCACTGCCCCATTCATTACCCTAGTCAACCTAGATCTGGCCAATAAGATACCTCTTTGGCCCTCTCCCCAAAGCCACACACACAGCCACATGGGGCTCTACACACTGCCTACCAGATCCACTTTATCTGAAGAAGATACCCAGGCAGGGCTGGGTTAGAAGCCCCAGTGGGAATGTGCACCGCTCCTAGAGTGCTGCAGAGGCTGGACTCACGGGGCCTTCCACGACCCACTCGGCTCCACCGTCTGCCCCTTCCTGCAGCTCCCCAGCCATCCCTGCAGTGCCCTCAAAGCTCCTTTACATGCAAGCAAAGCAAGCCCAAGATTAACCATTAGCTTTTCTTTTCCTAGGTTTCTCTACATATTAATAAAATGTACTTTATGTACAATTCTTCCCCCACCCCACCCCCAAGCCTGGAAAAGGCTTTTGCTAACAAAATGGGAAGAAACAGATTCCAGCCACGCAGTCTTCAGCCCTGGAGATTTGGATCGTGGGCAGTGCCAAAGATGCCGGAGGCGCCGTGAAACCTGTTTCTCCCCGGAAGCTACTGTTTTGTCAACCTTGTCCCCCACCCCAAATAAAATCAGAAAATTTCACATTTGAACCTCACCCCAGTTTCCTCAGCACAAAAAGGGCAGAGGAATAAATTAAATCAGTTCAACCCCAAATATTTTAGATCACAAATCAAAAATAAACACAAAGAGCAAGGAAAAATATCAAGAAATACTCGGCTCAATCCACCCGGCTTCAGTCTTCCCCCAAGCGCATGACTGTGGGACTAGGCCACCTCAAAGGAGGGCACAGACCCTGTCAGCCCACTGGGAAAAAGGCGTCCTTCCTGCTAAGAAAGTAGAATCTCAAAAGGCTTGTCCTACCCCCAGTCTCTCGGGGGAAGCTGCTTAGAGGCAGGCTGGCTGCAGGCAGGGCCACTCTGGGATGCTGGGCCCAGAGCCACCCCAATAATCCAGCACAGGACCCCGCTCAGCACTAAGGAGCCCATGGCAGCCCACCAGCAAATCGAGACAGGCTTCGCCTCTCTGCCTCGTCGTACATCTTCTCTCCCCACGCAAATGCAGTCGTCCAGGCCCCACTAAGAACCATTTCACCCTCTACCTGGTCTGTGGGTCACCTGACACTGCAAGAGCCACCGTTCTCAGCCACAATCCTGAAGAGGCAGACAGACATCTGAGACACAGGAGCAGGTTTGCATCTGAGCCATGTCTACTGCAAGGCTGCCAGATGGTAAAAGGGGAAGTTTGGAAAGCGTGATCTCCCACAGAGTGAGCGCAGAAGTCCTAAGAAGCTGGTCAGTAGTCACTGCCATTGTTCAACAGCAGACTATGAAGGACACTGGTCCCTAGAGGTGGCTATAGCTCCATCACGCACATGTTCACAACCACGCTGTCACACACGCCCACACCCGGCACCTAAGCTTGTGCCTGTGACATCTTCACCCTCTATCCCATGGAGAGAGGGTGTTCCACCAATTTCCATTGCTGTCCACGGGGTGCAGGAGGGCTGCTGACCTCCGAGGACACTGTCACAGGAGGAAGCCCTCATGGGAGCTGAATGAGTGGCAGGCCACTGAGAGATGGGTAAACCTGACATCCTTGCCCTAGCCAGGGAAGCCACAGCACAGCGGCCACTCAGTGACCAGCAAAAAGCACGGCTCCGCGCGTTGGGTCTATGTGCTGAGGTCATGGGCACTGCCAGAGGAAAGCAGAGAAGGAGTCAGCACCTTGGTTAGCACGGGGGTGCCCTGGAAGGCACAGCCACAGCCTGAGCATCTCAGCCTCTCATGACATCCAAAAGAAGCAAAGCTTTCTACCTCATCATCTCCTCTTCTTTTCTAAACTGAGGGCTGGAATTCTCAGGATGCTGCTCAGAAAAGTTGGCCAAATTCATCCTGAAGGCTGACAGCCTGATGCCCACATCCCAGTGCATCCCAGGGCCTGGCTGAGCCCCCTGAGCTCCTCTGGGAGGGAAACCCCACACTGTACAAAGGCTGCATGTCAGCTGGTGGTGAGCCACCACCTCCCACCCCAACACCTCAGGTAAGCTGGCTCCCATCATCCCCCAGGAGAGACGCCCGAGTGAGCAGCATGTCACAGCACGGGGGCAGAGGGTGTGCTACCTGGAAAAAAGAACCCGAAGAGTTGTGTGCTCTTCCACCTTGCAGAGCTGTTGCTCAGTGGTCAAGTAGATTCCAATGCCCCAGAGAAGCACATCAAGTGGAAGGCCCAGGTTCCACCCCAAGGGTGCCCGGCCTAGTCTCAGAAGCCCCTTTGTGCCTCTCCCACCACGACCCCTTCAGATGTGTTCAGAAAGGAACTGCGGTGGTGTGACTAGCACAGTAAACCTCAAGGGTGGAGCTGGTCCTCAGCAGCCTGGGTGAAAGGAAGGACCAGGGCCTGTGTGGCAGAGAAGAAGTCCATCCCCTAAGATGGAAATGCCAAGAAGAGACAGCAGCCATCCAAGGCCTCATCCTGCGAGGTCACTGGGCCAAGCCCATGGCAGCTGCATGAGACCAGCAGAAGCCGTCCAGTGCTGCCATGGCTCACATCCAAGCAGGGGACTCAGGAGAGGTGGGCGCCCCCAAACCCACCAAGACAGCAGCACCAAGAAGGAAATACTTCAAGGAACCTTCATTCTAAGCCAAGCCAGAAGTGGGGCTCCTGCACAGAGTGGGGCAGGGGCAGATCTGCCCTCCAGCCCGCCCTCGGGGCCTTCTGCCCTGTCCTTGGGCAGCACCATGTCTTACGGGCAGAGAGACGTCTTAGTGGGAAGATGACCTCATGAAGCTTCTGGATGCTAAGAGTTTGAACCAGGACAAGACTTTGGCAGAGGAAGAGTCAGTGCCCAGACCCTACTCACCACCCCTCCCGCCTTCATTCCTATGCCTCAGCCACAGAATAGATACTGGGCAAAGCGGGCGGGATCCAGAGCGTCCCAGGCCCCAGCAGCCGGAGGCGCCCTAGCTTCACCTGAGCCCATCCTCCTGGAGCTCAGGTCCACAGGAGGAGCAAGGCCCCAAGGCAGAGAAGAGTCGGCAGGCAGCACATGGTGAGTATGGGAAAGCCACAGGCGGCTCCGCACAAGTGGTAATTAATCAATCTGGAGAATTAGCTCCCACAAAAGGAAAGGAGGATCCAATCAGCCGCTGTGGAACAGCACTGCAGAGTGCTGAGCCGGAGACGGTATAAATAGAGCCGGCAGCTTGGCGCTAGCACAGGTGGCTCTGCGGTGGGGGAGCCTTTGGCCACAGAGCTCATGGCCTGGCTGGGCGGAAGGGTGCCGATGGATGAGCTGGATTTGTGCACCAGGGGCTTGCTTTAGCCCCATGGCTGAGTAGCCTCTACTTCTGCAGCGTGAGCCGCGCTGGAAGGAAGAAAGATGCAGGTCTGGGTGCCTGGCCTCCCCTTCTTCACCCAGGAACCAAGAAATAAAGGCTTGAATTTAGTTCTGCAGTAACTCATTGCTGAACCCCCACAGAAGGCAGCCAGTAATCACAGCAAGGCCCCATTTCTACTCTGGGTGGGAGAAGGTAGGAGACAAATGGAGAATTCAGCTGAGAGGCGTGGATCCTGTTTCAGGAGAAAGAATCCCCCAAGACAGATGTCAAGCACCTTGCCAATGTGCAGCCAGTGCTAATCGCAAACCCCAGCTGACCACTGCCCTCCTCCTCCTGCCTCCACTGACCACAGAGAGCAACAGCACTTTGCCTCGATGTACATATATATATGTATATATATATACACACACACATAGAGAAACCCACACACTACAGACATATGCATCTGTATCTATATCTATACATATGTGGGGGTGTGGAAGACGGACATTAAGTCCAGCCTTCTTCCAGGACTTGAAAAACTGAAACAGAAGCAGAGAGCAGTAAAAGCCGTGCTTTCCTCTTCACTTCCAAGGACATTGGAAGAGATGAGAAAAATCAACCGAGTGAAGCAGGGGGCGGAGGGGAGGAGACAGGTGCTGCCCAGGCTCCAATCCACTTCCTGACCTCGACCCACAGGTGGAAAGTCTGCCCGCCCTCCGTCCCGAAGACAGGTGGCCAGAATCTGGAGGGAGACGCCCGCTCTGGCAAAAGAGGGGGCATGCAGGACAAAGATCCGGGCCGTCCTTGGCAGGCGGAGGAGGACACACCCCCACACGGTGGCCCTCCCTGCCTGAGCCCAGCAACCTCGCCCCGGGGACACCTAGGGTGGGGTGGAGTCACAGCAAAGTGGCATGGCCTGGGTCATCGTGGTCCACACTGTTGAGAATCGCTGTCTGGTCTTCCGGAAGCTGGCGGTGGCACAAGTCCGAGAGCCGGGCAAAGGGGTCAGGACGGGAATGTCTCTTCTTCTTTCGGAGGCAGACAGCTTCATCGGGCCACAGAACCTGAGAGCTGGGAAGCTGCTGAGCCTGGGAGGCAGAACCGTCTAGGGAGGAAGGAAGAGGGACGCAAAACAGAAGAAAAGCAAGCAGATGAAAAGGAAGAACGCAGCCCGCTCACCTTTTCCACCTGCATATGTTCCGGGATTCTAATGTTGAAACAAAGGAATCACCTGAGTCTAGAGAGACCAGAACGAATTGCTGCAGAGAAAGCACTTTCTTTTCCGCTAAGGCAACCAGCAACCTGACCCTGCTTCTTCACTGGAATAGGAGTTAAGAAAGTGGAATGGAGAGGATTTTCTTTCTCATTCATTTCTTTCTCCATCAGTGTACAGATATTTATTTTAGTGCCTCCTGAGTACTAGGCATCATTCTAGGGACTGGGGATCGGGAAGGAACAGGCTGGGACTCAGGGCATCTTTCTCGTCTGCCCCAAGCAATGACTGACTTTATACAATATTTTAATTCCATGCAACAGTCAGGCCTTGACCCTTCCTGGAGTGCCCAGCCCTCTCCTCTGTCTTATGGCCCTTCTGGAGATTAAGCAGGAATGCCTTTGCTATCTTCAAAGACTATGCATCCATGTTAGGGTGCAGAGGAAGAGACAAACTGTCAAGACTTTAAAAGTACAGAAATAAAATTTGCAGTTACTGAAAATACTACAAAGATAAAATAGAGTCAACTGAGGCACTACTCTGCTCCTTAAAGGGTTAACACTTGAATTGCGTGTTAAATTATGAGCCTTCTACAGATCTGAAGAAAAATTACTATTCCCAACAGAAGAAATGGCATTTGTGCAAGCCCCAAGTTAAGGCTAAATGTGGTGTGTCCCCAGTACAGAAGGGAGGTCATCTCAGTTGGAAAAGAGTGAGGCAAGAAAGACAGGCAGGGCATCTAGGAGCTTGAAATCTGTTCTGGTTACGACGGGAATCTTCTGGAAGGTTTTAAGAAGTGTGTGTGTGTGCGCGCGCATGCCTGCACGTGTGCGTTCGTGACTGAGAGGATGCTGCTACGTGTCCTACAGCTTGCTGTGGTGGCTGTGTGTGGAATCCGTGGTGCAAGGTACAAGGATGGGGCTGGAGCACCAGTCACAAGGTACTGCAATAGTCAAGGTGGGACAGACAGTGACTCAGAACATAGAGTTAGCAATAGAGACAACGGAAAGTGGCCAGATTCAGGATATGTTGCAAAGGCTGAGCTAACAGGTATTACCTAGTGGGCTTGACGTGAGATGCGAAGGCAAGAGAAGAATCTGGGAATTAAAGGGCCTGACACCCCAGGGGGCACCAGTGCTAGTGATTAAACTGAGGAAGAGCTGAGGAGAAGCAGACCTGGAGAGGCTGATCAATAACTCTGCTTTAGACATTGTAAAGGCGTATGAAACACCCAAGTGCACATTCAGCTGGCAACTGGAAAGATGAGCCATGACCTCAGGGAAGGGACCTGGGCTAAAGACAGACATTTGGAAGATGCCAACATAGAACTGGTAACAGGACCACTGCTATCAGAACAAGAGAGAATGCAGGTCTCTGGTGTGACTTTTTTTTTGCAACAAAGAAATACATAAGTTATACATATATATAAAATATATATTGATGGGTCTTAAATGGGTTAAGAATGGGCTTAAATTGGTTGAAAATGCAGCTTTGAGCTCCAGTTTCTAACCCAAGCCCTAAAAACATCATTTTCTTTTTCTCTGCCACGGTATTTCCATCTGTAAACCGAGAGGATACTATTATCTGCCAAAGGCTAAGTGATCATAAGTGATCACTGTCTCCCAGAGATTCATGGGGCTCTGAATTTCTGTATAACACTCTCCCATAATCCTATCTATAAGGAGAGTTACTGTACAAGTTATCAAAGATCTGTAAAGAAACTGTTCAGCATTCTTCCTTCACAGCCTGCCACAACACTCCTAAAACCATTCATGAAAAGAGGGTTTTTAACAAACATTAAATAATTTTCTAGTCTTAAAGAGGGCTAAATTCGTTCTGCACTCAGAAGCTACCTATCCCTGCAAGATACACATCGGACATACTTCGATAGAGGCGCCCTCTCTGTGGGGTAAGGAGGCTTCCTTCACTCGATCTCACTGAGAAGAGTGCAGCCAACCTGCAGAGGCTGGGCCCAGGCTGCAATGTACCCTGAGCTCCACATGGGGCCCCGTCATGCCTATGTTTCCTAGAAGGCCTGAAATGATAGAGGGGAAGTAAGTAAGGAGATAAGAGTTACGTGCACTTTGGGAGGCCGAGGCGGGTGGATCACGAGGTCAGGAGATCGAGACTATCCTGGCTAACACGGTGAAACCCCGTCTCTACTAAAAATACAAAAAAAAAAAAAAAAAAACTAGCCGGGCGTGGTGGCGGGCGCCTGTAGTCTCAGCTACTTGGGAGGCTGAGGAGGGAGAATGGCGTGAACCCGGGAGGCGGAGCTTGCAGTGAGCCGAGATCACGCCACTGCACTCCAGCCTGGGAGACACAGCGAGACTCCGTCTCAAAAAAAAAAAAAGAGTTACGTGCAAGGTGAACGGCAGAGTGGAAAAATATATCTTTACTATTTGTGTTGTTTGAAAACACACTAAAACAATAGGATACATTTTCTGAAGCTATAGGCACAGAAAAGGTTCTGAAGGCACATACGCTGAAAATGACAGTTCTCCAGGTGAGTGGAAACAAATTGGGAGAGCAATCAGATAGATTCTGCTTATCTTTCTCATTTTGTATTTAAAATCATGTTTGTGTATTGCTTGAAAAATAGTGTTAAAAAAGAAAGGACAAGAGAAGCTTGTGGATTCAATTCTAGAGAAAGCCCAGGGTTGGGACCCTGAGCCCAGTCACCCTCCTGACAATGGCAAGGCAAGGTGGGAGAAGTGGGGCAGCCCTCTGCCCATCATTTACCGGATCGTTTCTTTGACTTCGAAGAGCCCTTGGATGACTTTTTGGGCTTCTTTATCCGTTGGTATTTCAGAGCCTCCAGCCTCTCAGGTGCAGCAGCGTTCTCGGGTGCAGGTGGAAGTGTTCTGGAAAGGACAACCAGAGAGCCACAGGTCAGCTCCCGGATGTGTGAGGCTTTGGAACAGGGACTGGAAGAAAGCCAAGTAGCTGACCCATAGAAGGACAGAGTTCAGTCCCACAGAGCCCAGGGTGCCCACGATGGCTCCATGATACCCGCCTTTCTATTGCTCCTGGAAAGAAGAAAACCCAGTAGAAAGCTCCAGGAGCATGGCCCACCTTGGACGGAAGCCACAACCTGCAGAGCAATCAGCAGACCCTAGCAAAGGGAGAGAGAGAGACTTTAATAGTAAGCCCCTTCCCATGTAACTCAAGCTGGGATGTATTCAGTGTCAGAGACAGAAGTAGGCTCAACGTCTGGAGTTCCTAGAAATCACCACAATCAAGACCTTTGCATGGAAAGTAAAAGGGCATATTAGAGCAGGGGGCAAGCAACTCCCATCCCAGTGAACCATCCTCCATCTCCAGAAAAGGGGGTGCTAAGTGAGAAACCCGGACCCCAGCTTCTTCTCCTGCAGCTGCAAGATTCCCACAGAACAGCAGCAGCTTACAGCAACGAATTCTTGTCATATACCAACATTTTCAGGGCAGTGTCTCCTCAACTCTGCAGATGAGGCTCAGCTCTCCTCGGCCATGTAAGAAAACAGGAGAAGGTGGCAGGAGATGACGGCAGAACAACCAAATCTGGTAGCCTCCCAGAGCCCTTACTGTCTGTAACAAGAACGTGGTGAACCTCTGTATTTTAGGATTCGACAGAGAAACGGGGTTGTTGGAACAGAAGTGTACTGGCCTCTCTTCCTGCATCCTGATTGCCACTTGCCTGGTGGATCAACTGCACAGTTAGGACAGGTTCCACAGTCTGGCCACACCCGTGCAGCAGCCCAGGTACACAAGGGAGCCAGAAGAGCTGAGAAGACAGGCAGTCTGTGACACTCGATGCATATTGGAGAGAATCTTTCAAGAGTCATAAAAGAGGAAAACCTAAAAGACATGTTCTCAATGCCATTTCTTCTCAAAGTAACCCAACTCGGAGCCTGAGGAATGAAGGGGAAACAGAAAGAGACAGGTCACTCTGTCTTCCCACCAGCACTGGCATTAGCACGCGATCAGAGAAGCAGGGACGCTCTGGAGCTACGGCGGATGGGCGTGCCTCGCTCTTCTCCTGGACCCCCCAACTCCCTCCCCTATCTCCATCGCAAACAGTTTTTAGAAAGTCCTGATTAAAAGAGGTAGGACAGACAGTGCTGTGAGGGCAAAAGAAGACCCCAAAGGTCAAGAGGTCTGAGGTTTAAAAAAATGTTAACAGGGATAGGAAACCTGCAGCCTCTTCTCCAAAACATCAAATATCTTGGCAGCAAGGCAGGAAGAGGAGACTTACACACTAAATGAAGATAAGCCTCTGGTCTCTGGGGTTTCCTGCATGCACTGGCAATGCAGTGACCTCTATCTTCCTGGGGGATGTCATCGTTCTCTAGTACTTTAGTCCATAGAGTTTCAAAAGGCTCCCTCAAAAGTTTAGGTCAGGATCAACCTCTTGACTTTCCATAGCCCCTGACAGCAGAGCTGAGAAGGACACACAGGGTCCCTTACGTGCACACACAGGCACACACAGCCCTCTCGTGAAGAAGTGACCCAACATGCCAGTCTACCCAGAGAGATCCTACAGCACAGCAGCAGCTGGGAAGGAAGCGGGAAGGCAGACAAAGGGTGCAGGTGCCCGGGCGGGAGGGAGCACACCTTGCCAGTGTGGAAGGCACATCCTCACCCCTTCTCATCCTCGACTGAGGCTTCTTCATGCTGCCTACAAGGAAAGTCAATGTGAATCCACCTATTCAGTCGATCTCTGTCTCCTGGCCGGCCTCTTCAGGAGGACCACACAGGGAGAGCAACGTGTGGTCAGGGAGGCACATGACCAGCAAGAACAGTAGTCTCCAACGTCATCCAGGGAGACTGCAGGAGCACGAGAGAAACGGGTACAGGGTGCCCTGAAAACTGTTAGAGATTCTTCAAGCCAGGTGAAACTTCCAGGGGTGATACAATGGTTAGAATCCACATCTTATCACTGTTGTCATTTTTATCTAGCATTGATTTACCACTTACCACAGCAGGCACTGCTGTACAGTAATTGCCTATAATCTCTACAGCAAACCTAAGAGGTAAATACTACAATGCCCCCATTTTTCAGATGGAGACACTGAAGTTTAGAGAGGTAAGCAACCTGTCGAATAATCCAGTCATCGTGGGACAGAGCCAAGACTCTTAACGTTAGGCTCACCTCTCAACTGCCCTTCCAACGTCTTCCCAATCAACACAGGTATAGCAGCTACAAAGAAGAAAAGCATGGCATCCCCACCACACCTGAGAAATAGATATGCCTTGCAACGTACTTGAGGCTAGCACTGACATTCTGTGCTTTGGTGGAACAGCCCGGTAAGACAGACCAGGGCTGTAGAGGAGCCTGCTTAAGTTGTATCTTCAGACAAAAATTCCCAAACAGTAATGATCCAGTAACCAGAAGCAGCCGATTTTCCCTTGAGAAACAGCCAAGCTCCAGCCCTTCCAGGACACCGGCTGTCCACCTGTTTAGCTCTGGGCTCAGCACAGAAGCATGGCCACAGGACAAAGAAGGCTCTGGACACACCAAGACCCTCACCCAATGCAGGAGGAAAAAACAAAAGCTAGTGTCTGGCAGAACAGGAGGGAGGAAGCGGGGCAGGCAAAACGAGTCTATTTTTGGCACATGGTACAGAAAAGACGCATAGAACGTGACCTAACAGACTTTACGAACTGCATGTAAAGCCCTATGCAATCAAATTGCCTCCCTGTTTTAGGAAAGGTGACCATGTTTGCTGCCAATGCCAGCCCCACCTGGGACCCTTTGGTCATGGAGCTCCTGGTGCCAATGTCTCAGATGGGAAGCTTCAGTGAAGCAACTCCATCCTATCCCTGGAATTCAGCTGTCAGGTAAATCTAAGTTTGATCCATAGATGATCCCATTACACCAGAAGCCAGTCCTGGGCTTTCCAAGAATTTAAGGTCACAGCTCTCTTCCCAAACAGTCTATACTGTTCTAAAGCATGCAGGAATACTACGAACCCTGGGGCTCCTCTTCTTCCAGGAAGTCACGGGATTACTGTAAGATGAGGGCCTCAAAGCCTTGGCACAGAGGGGATTTTTACAGTACAGGACTACCAACAATTGCCTGGAACTTACTTCTCTTTTTTTTTTTTTTTTTTTTTTTTTGAGACAGGGTCTCTGTTGCCCAGGCTGGAGTGGAGTGGCACAATCTCATCTCACTGCTGCCTCAACCTCCCCATCTCAGATGATCTTTCCACCTCAGCCCCCGAAGGAGCTGGGACTATAGGCATGTGCCACTATGCCCACCTATTTTTTGTATTTTTTTGTAGAGATAGGGCTTCACTATGTTGCCCAGGCTGGCCTCGATCTCCTGGACTCAAGAGATCTGCCCTCCTTGGCTTCCCAAAGTGCTAGAATTATAGGCATGCGCCACCACACCCAGCCAATACTTTTTCTCTCTTTTCAAAAAATCCATACGTAACCCAAATCACGACCAGGTAGCCCAGGAGGTCTTATTTGCTTAGCTCTCAGCTTACCCAGAAGAGCTGAGGAAAGATGCAGCCACATCAAAGTGGAGGCCTCAGGACAGGGAAAGTCAAAACCCCCTGCATATTTCCTTAGCTCAGCACCCATCAGCTGACCATTACGACGCTGTTCAGGTGTTCCCTGGCCAACAGGCTGAATCAGTGGCTTGCTGGGCATTTTCTTCCTCTTCTAATCATCTGAGAGCAAACACCACCTGCCTGATTATACCCTGATGGAGGCAGAGGAAAGCCACTCACAGACGGGCCATAGCAAGGGAAAGGGTGGGCCCACTGCAGGAGTCTGGAGGTCTGAACCCACCCCACTGACTGCAAGATGGAACCCTTCTGTGGGGCCGGGCTCAGACCAGTGCTCTGCCTCAGAACCTGACAGAGTCTTGTTTCCAAAAGGGCTCCTTCCTACGGCTGACCCAGGACAGGGGCCACTCCATGCTCCAGACCCACCTGCCTCCCTGCAGTGACAGCCTGAACGGGAAAGCGAGTGGAAGGAGAGGTGAGGACAGGGCATCACTAGGCTCAGACGGGAGCTAAGAATTGGCTCAGCCTCCCCACAGTCCACAGAAAGGACAGGTCCACACAATACAACTCCCCATGTTGAGAAGGGAGTTGGGAAGAGGAGAAAAAAAGGGAGAGAGAAAAGAGGAGAGGCAGGGGCAACAACTACATATGGGCCAAAGGAACAGGAGAGGAACTGAAGGGAAAAGAAACAGCGAGAACGCACGTGGACAAGAGCTGTCACAACTTCTCCAAGCAAGACCGAGAGGGCACACATGCAAAGGTGCAGCATGGAGACAGCATCTGAACAGAGCCTGCATCTCCCCAGGGCCCAGCAGCCGTACCGGGAAGGCTCCCAGCAGGCAGGAGAGCCCAGCACTGAGGGGCTGACTCAGGATGGGGAGGGTCTCCTTCTCCTAGGCTGGGGATGCTGGCCAGGCCCGGGAGAGAAACGATGGTCCCTCATCGCTGCCCCTGGTTTCTGGGTTTGCCACAGCAGTGAAAAGAGAGTGGGCTTCTCTTGGATCTGGCACAGTGGGGACACTGGGAAAGGGGGGGGTCAATGGAGTTGAGTGAAGGGGCGAGGAAGTAACACATGAGAGCGGAGTCTAGGAATTTCCAGGAGCTGGGGTGAGAGCTAGTCTAGGGCTCCCACACCTCCGGGGGCCATGGAGGAGTCACAGCTGGGAGAGGGAAGGAGATGGGGAAGGTGGAAGACCAATGGGTCTATGGCCGCAAGAGGGCCCCGGAACAGGTGAGCTCGTAAACGCTGGACAGCTCTCCTCACACTCACCCTATGCCAGACAGCCTCACCCACAATTCCGGGGCCTCTGGGCTGCTGACAATTTTATAGCTACAGATGGTAAAGAAATGTCAGGGCAGTCCTCTTTATGGAGGCCACTCTTCGGACTGAATGAGAATTATAGCCCTGGTTAGGAAAATGAGCCTCCCTTGACATCTCTAGGTGGGGAAGGTACCTGTCTCCTCGCCTGGGAAGCCAGAAGCACCTGGACGGGAGGCTCGCTGTCTCCCATGCAGGTGCCCAATGCCTGTGTGTGCCCAGGCACAGGGCAGAGGGTCCGTGGCGACAGGCAGCACCTTGTTAGGCTACTGTGAGAGGGAGCGAGCTTCGGGTGGCCCTGAGTCTCTGTGAGGGACTCAAAGGCTCCCTGAATGCCCAAGTTCCTTTGGCTTCCACCTGGAAGGACACTCAAGGAGAGGTCGACTGCAGGGGCAGAGGGAGGGACACAGTGCTGGTCCCTGGGGGGTTTCACTTCTTGCCAGCTCAATGCCTGTCTGCCCAGGGGAAGCCTGTCCCCTCCCCTTGGAGGGGGTCCTCCCAAGACCCTTTCCCTACAGCATGACTGCAGGGACCTGACCCTGCGGAGGACCCCACTGTCAGGGAAGAAGTGGGGCTCATCCCAACCTTGTGCTCCTCGAGAGAGCCTAATACCACGAAGATCCCAAGAAGCTGGTGAGGGGCCAACCACCCCAGGAGAAGGGATGCTCTGCCTGGGGCTGCTGGGAGAATAGGGTGCGGGAGGTTCTTCCTGGATACCAGAGGGGCCCCACAGAGGTCCCCAAGGGTGCAGAGATGCAAAGCAGATCTCGGGCGTTCTGGGCCCCTTCGGGGTGCATGCAGGGCCCCAGGGCTTCTGTGGGAGGCCCTGGGTGTACTGGCAGCAGGCTGGCAAGGCGTCGGAGTGAGGAGAGCCGCAGGGGGCTCTAGAGGGGCTGGACATGGGGATGGGGGGGCAGAAGCTGCAGCTAGGCGGTGCCGAGCGTGGCTCGATGTGGGGAACCCAGAAGCCGTGGGGATCGAGGAGCGGCAGCAGCCACCCCACGGGGCGGTGAGGGGACATGGTTTGGATCCCCTGTCCAGGAAGCAATGGCCCGGCCGAAGCCCCGTCCGCCTGCCCGCCCCCGCCCGCCCAGCCGAGGAGCTCCCTTACCTATTGAGCTGAGGAGAGGCTTGTCTCGACAACACTGCCCAGATAGCTGAGATCAATCAGAAACAAAGCAGTTATCAACACCGGCCGGGGGGCACCGCCCACGCACACCCAGAGGGAAGCAGGGGGGGGCACAGCGAGCACCGGACAGGCGAGGCCGGAGCGCGGGGGAGGGACGAGGAGAGAGACAGAGACCCAGACACGATGGAAGGAAGCAGATGAGCTGAGCGCGCACAAAGCACAGAGACAGGGCTGCCGCGGCACCTCCCGCGCAGACAGAGGCGGCGGCTGCGGCTCCTCCACCTCCCTGCGCCCTAAGCTCCGCACCCCCTTCACCGCCCCGGAGCAGCCCGCGGTGGGGCTGGGGCTGGGAGGTGACCTCGTACTTCCAGGTACCAGGGAGGGTGGGGGACGGGGCAGGGGGAGGGCGCTGGGCTCCCTCCTCCTCGACCACCTCCCATCCTGCCTACCACCAGGCCAGCCTCCTCTGGAACTCTCTGCTCCCTCCACAGGCGGCTACATCAAGAAGAGAGACCAAAGGACGGAGCCAGAGAGAGAAAGAGAGAGAGAAGAGGGCGGGGGGACGGGGTATCCAGGGGCACTACAGAGGCGTGGCCAGTTCTTCTGAGCAAGTCGGGTCAACCCAAAGACGATGGTGAGGAAGGAAGATAGGCAGAGAGAAAGACTGACTGGAGAAGGAAGGAGGGGCAGGGGGAGGAGGAGGGGGGACGGCAGGGGAGAAGGATGAGAGAAGAAGAGGCATAGACAGGTGTCCAGGCTCTGGTACCTGGAATACCAGCTGCTACAGTTTAGAGAGTGCTCTCTCAGGCGGGCTGATAGCCGGAGCTTGTCTGTCTCTCTGCAGCTTCCTGCGAGGTATACAGGTGGGGGTGGGGGACGTGTCCTGCACATGATCACAAGGCCTGACACTTTTCTCTGGGCCTCCAGGAGAGGCTGAGGAGGGGGCTGGAGTCCGGCGCTCACTAGGGCTGCTAAGGGCCAGGAGTTTGGAAACAGGAGGCCCCTGGCCTGGTGGTCTGGAGAAGTCAGGCTCCGGGGTCCTGCTTAACAAGGAGGAGGGGCCGGGGAAGAAAAGGAGGCTAGACACGAGGTGTGTGGGCAACCCCCAGGACCACCGCCCGATGCCAGGACCACAGGGACACGGAGAGCCATCAACTCCAAGAGGGACGGGGTCCACCCCCGCAAGGGCACTCGCTGTGATCCGCTGCTCCCTGGTAGGTGGTGCGCCCGCTGAGAGCTCAGGGCTTGCTGGAGAAGATGCCTCATGCTCCTGGCAGGGCACCTGGGCAGGTGGGCCCGCTCCACCCCAGCGACTGCACCCTGCCAATGCCGCGGCGGCCAGAACTCCTCTCCCGAGGGATGCTGGTGCAGCATGTCCACACAAGCCCTGTCGCCGGGCAGATGGACGGGGTGGAGGGCAGGGCGAGGCGGGTGGGGAAGGAAGTTGACCAGGTGCGGGTGGTGGAAGAGGCGGCGCACTCACCCTGAAGTAGGTAACGTGGGTGGTGGGGGCTCTGGTCGGAGCAGTTCCTCCCCCATCCTTCGAGGGGAAGGCGTCTGTCCAAACACGTCCAAGCTGTCCCCAGGCCCAGCAGGGGCGGGGCCAGGTGGAGGGGAAGGGTAGCCTGTGGCCAGTGTGGTGAAGCCCATGGCGGGCCGGTAGCTGGGACTCCCGCTGCGGCTGCTCTGGGTCGGGGAGCCCGTGGATGGCGTGGACTTTCGAGAAAAGCTGACTGCAGCAGGAGGCTGCAGGGTGATCTCTGACATCTCTGTCTGCTGCAGGAGGCCCGGGCGAGGCCGGGCACGGGCGGCGAGCTCAGGGGAGCCAGTGCGGGAGCTGAGGGGGCTTTGGGTCAGAGGTGAGAGCCGGGAGGGCTGTAGCACCACTTGATGTAAACTGGGCTCGGCGCGCCTGGCCTGCCGGGGGCTGGGCCGGGGCCGGGGCTGGGGCTCATACCACCGGGTGTCCAGGCCAAATGTGCTGGGGCCGCCGTGCGCCCCCGGCTCAGCCGGCTCGGGGTAAGGCAGCACGGGTATGCCCATGCCTTGGCTTGTATGTCGCAGCTGCCCTTGGCTTACCAGAGGTTGCATAGGTCTGTCCTGCCACTTGGTGGCGGGGGGCGCTGGGACAGGGCCCCTGCCAGGCGACTTGCCTGCCCAACCCTTTGGTGCCTCCAGAGACAGGATGCCCGGGTAGGCTGCGGGCACCTGCAGGGAGGTGGGGGGCAGTCCTCGGGGGAGGCCGGCCTTGGGCTGCAGACTCTCGGGCACATCACAGGGTGGCAGCTGGTGGGGGAACATCATTGCTGGGGTCTCCAGCCCCCCGAAGGGGAATTCTGGCCGGCCCCAGGGCTCAGGGGAGCGCCCTCCTGTAGGTGTCTGAGTCAAGGGCAGCGTGCTGTTGGATGCATTCTCTCCATTCTCCTCGGGGATGGTAGGGTGGCCAAAGGGCCCCTCGGTGTGCAGGGGCGGGGATGACATGACGGAGCTCAGGGGGCTGCCCACTTCTGGCACGTAGAATGGGGGCGGCTCCACCTCCCCAGGGCTGCTGCTGCTGAGGTACCCATAATACTGGCCGTGGTGGAAGGGCCGGGGGGCAGGGGGCCGGGCCTGGCCTGTGGCCTGAAGCCGACCTTCCAGGCCACCGGGGCCCTCCAGCCCGCGGGGCTGGAACCGAGGGCTGTATGCTGGTGGTGGCAGGTAGGACTCCTGGCTGGATGACAGAGGGGTGAGCTGGGACTTCAGGGCGGCCACAGATGTGGGCACCAGTGGGTCCTCATTCTCCTCGTCCGACTGGCGGAACTCGGGGTACATGTCCGTCTCCTCGGCGAAGGGGAAGCCCTCGATGCGCCTGCTCTTCAGTGAGGGCTCCATCTCGGCAGGGTCCATCACGAAGCGGCCATCAGGGCCTCTGCTGATGAGTTCGATGGGCGTGGTGGCCTCCGCCTCGGCCTCCGCTTTGGCCACGCTGTACTTCTTGCTGCTGATGGCCCGCTTGGTCTTCTTGTACAGCGACAGCTCCTTCTCGCGGGTGGGGCTCAGCATCCTCTTGGCCGCAGGCTGGCCCTGGTCATCCGAGGATTCTGACGGCGCCCGGAGCGTGCGGATGCTCTCAGGGCTCACCTTGCCAGAGGACAAGCTGCAGGGAGGAGTGAGAGCCAGGAGGGGATGAGGTGGGGGAGTGTGCTGGCCAGGACTTCCTTTCCCTCTCTTGGCAACCACCCAGCACCCAGGATCCTCATGCTAAAGAAAACTGGCTGCGTATCGTGGTGTGAAATGCTTTGGTCAACTCTCCACTGTCTGGATGTGCATCCTCCTTTTTTTTTTTTTTAAAGACGGGGTCTTGCTATGTTGCCCAGACTGGTCTTGAACTCCCGGCCTCAAGCAATCCTCCCGCCTCAGCCTCCCAAAGCACCAGGATTACAGGTGTGAGCACCCTGCCCCTACCGCATCATCCATCTTTCCAGTGAACACCCACCTCTCCACTTTTGTGCTGGCCTGCCCCCTCTCTGGTGTGCTCTAAGCATACCTCCAGCTTCATTCCCCCCTTTTCAAGGCAAGCAAGCTCACTTTAATATCAACTTAAGCAATACATATTAAGGAGGCAAATCTGCTAGGGTGGGAAAACACTAGAGAAATACATTCCAAGGCTGAAGAGAAACTGATTACTGGCTAATTTGGATCATCTACACTGCCACTCCCTCTACCAGTGTGGACAACTTACAATTAACACACAGGGCAATCAAGAAGAAATGGCTTAGAAACACTGAGATGGGGCTGGGCAAGTACAATTAACACACAGGTCAATCCAGAAGAAATGGCTTAGAAACACTGAGATGGGCTGGGTGAGGCAAGCCGTCTACCTATGTGCCCCCTGCCATGAACAGCACAGTTCTCCCAGGATCAGAGACACTTACGGAGACTCCAGGCTCTTCCTGCAGTGGGTGATAGAGAGTGGAGGGTCTGGAAGGAAAGAGAAGGGGAGAGGCTGCTGAGGCCAAGCCAGCAACCACGCAGCACGCTCATCCGCAGGAGCTGACAGGGCGGGAGCACCGCCGCACGGGGAAGGAGCTGACAGGGCCCCGGAGCGCCGCCGCGCGGGGAAGGAGCTGACAGGGCCCCGGAGCGCCGCCGCGCGGGGAAGGAGCTGACAGGGCCCCGGAGGCCGCGGGGGAAGGAGCTGACAGGGCCCCGGAGCGCCGCCGCGCGGGGAAGGAGCTGACAGGGCCCCGGAGCGCCGCCGCGCGGGGAAGGAGCTGACAGGGCCCCGGAGCGCCGCCGCGCGGGGAAGGAGCTGACAGGGCCCCGGAGCGCCGCCGCGCGGGGAAGGAGCTGACAGGGCGGAGCCCGCCGCCGGGGAGCGACAGGCCCCGGAGCGGCCCCGCGCGGGAAGGAGCGACAGGGCCCGGAGCGCCGCGCGGGGAAGGAGCTGACAGGGCCCCGGAGCGCCGCCGCGGGGAGGGTGCGGGCCGGGGCGCCGCGCGGGGAAGGAGCTGACAGGGCCCCGAGCGCCGCCGCGCGGGGAAGGAGCTGACAGGGCCCCGGAGCGCCGCCGCGCGGGGAAGGAGCTGACAGGGCCCAGCGCCCCGCGGAGGCCGGCGCCCGCGCGGGGAAGGAGCTGACAGGGCCCCGGAGCGCCGCCGCGCGGGGAAGGAGCTGACAGGGCCCCGGAGCGCCGCCGCGCGGGGAAGGAGCTGACAGGGCCCCGGAGCGCCGCCGCGCGGGGAAGGAGCTGACAGGGCCCCGGCCCGGAGCGGCCCGCGCGGGGAAGGAGCTGACAGGGCCCCGGAGCGCCGCCGCGCGGGGAAGGAGCTGACAGGGCCCCGGAGCGCCGCCGCGCGGGGAAGGAGCTGACAGGGCCTCGCAGCGCCGCCGCGCGGGGAAGGAGCTGACAGGGCCCCGGAGCGCCGCCGCGCGGGGAAGGAGCTGCTCACAGGGGGCACCTTTGGCCCCTGCCTTCATGTTAGCTTGGGCCCCAGCAGCCTCTCCCCGACACCCCTGCTTCTTACTCCCACCTTCAAATCAAGCCTCACTGGCAGCTCTACCCACAAGATCTCAATGTCCCTATTTCCAAGGGGGGGGGCATGCTAAAATTGGTCCATCTCTCTTGATGGGGAGCTTTTGAAACCGGACCAGGGAGAGCAGGGGAAGGGGACAGACACCCACCTTTTTTGCGCTTGAGCTTACGCTTGCGCTGCTTGTTGACAAAGCAGGCAGCCAGGGTGCTGAACAGGATGGCAGCTGCCAAGAAGCAGATGGTAGCTACGATTCCCGCCAGCACAGGCCGCGCCAGCCCGTCCTCGGTCAGGTCCGGCTGCGGGAAGATGTCTGCAGGGAAGGTGGGGAGCACTCATGAGCCCATCCTTCCCCGGGACCTCACCTGCTCCGACCTTCAGTCCCCAAGTGTTTCACCCTGCCTTTGTAGAACAGACAGTATCAAGGCTCAGGCTCCAAGCTGAACTCTAGCACTGAGGAGGTCTGGATGGTGTCACGAAGAGGAAGAAGATAGGAGAGACTACAGAAGTCAATCTCTCCAGAGGGTATAAAGAAGAAAACATCTATGCCTACCCCCATGGGGATGATGACTTCAAGAGTAATCTATACTTATCTAGGGTTCTGCCTTCTGCAAAGTACCTTCACGCACGTTATCAGCTCTTCTCATGTTAACCCCATGAGGTACACAGAGCACACATACTGTTCTCATTCTCTAAATGAAAGGGCTCTGATCCGCTGAGTTGGCGAGACCTGCTTATGTGAATATTGCCATCAGTGCCCAAACCAGAATGCAGCTGCCTGCTCCCAGTCTGGGATTTCCTGCCTCACACCACGCTGTCTCTACAAAAGGAGAGCCCAGGTGTGAAGGCAACTTGAGGATAAAATACTACCGCAGGAAGAGGGATTATTACTACAAAATTCAGATCCAAATGTATTTAACCCCTTCTAGCACAGGCATGCAATGTCCTGAAGATTCGCACCCTGGTCATCTCAGGTACGGAAGTACCCTAGAGCTGGCAGGGACAGCAGAGATGGAGCCAAATCTCTTGTTTCACTGTAAAGAACTGAACGTCCTCCTTTCCTGCCCAAGTCCACAGAGCTCGTTATGACTGAGCCAAGACCAGACCCCAGCCTACCTTCTTATACTCATTGGAAAGTTATGTAAGTGCCACTGCTTAGGTTCAGCAAAGGCAAAATCAATAGATTGTAATGTATTTGGCCAGAATTCATTGCTGCATTGATAGTAATAATGGATAAAAATAATCCAGATGATGCTGATTGTCTGAGGGGAAAATGAAAGCTACAGCCTTTGGAAATGGGGGACCTAATACAGGGAATGCTGAGGCTGCTGCCTCCTCCTTCTCCCATGTGGAAGGGTCTGATGAGGCACATTTCCTGCCAGGAACTGGCAGAGAGCTACTGAGCAGAGAATTGTCAGGGGTGGGCCCACACAACACCCCTTCTTCAGCTCCAGCCTTAGCGGCAAGCTCTCATCCCTGTTCCTCTAACTCTGGGTCTATTCCCCGGAGAGAAGTCATGAAGGACTGTGGGTTCTGCTACCTGTAGGACACAACTTTGTTTTTTTAAAGCCCGTTGGTGCCTAATGTATAAAGCAGAAATCGCACTCCACACCCACCCCTGCTCTCATGCTCCCTGCAGTGTGTCCACGCCAGCACTTCCCCAACTCTACAAGTCCTGCCGCATGAGCTCCTCAGACGAGGTTGCTGCCACCTGTTCCCAGGAGTCTCTGGGTGAGCAGTGCCCAAGGAAATGATGCCATCACTTGCTTATAAGCAAGAGCCTTTTTCCGTACCAAGGACACCCCTTCACTGGCAGAGGAACCCTGCTATGTCTTAGGAACTATAGCTGGAGAGAAGATGTGTAGAAATGGGACCATGGCCAAGAGAAAGAAAGATAAATGGAGAAAATGCTAGGGGGTTGGCTTTGTTTAGCCTTAAAAATCTAGAGAGAGGAAGGAAGGGAGGAAAACACCAAACAACAATTTTCCCAATAAAACCCACATAATTAGAAAGAAGTCTGTCACAAGCATTCGATAAACATGGTTGACCTGTTGTTTCCTCCGATTCACAGCCCCTCCCCCACAAGAGGAAACTGAAAATGTACAGCAAATAGCACTTCAATCAAGTCCTTTTTGACTACTATAATGAGACGATTAGTTGAATTTATTTCTGTGGCTGTCTTATACAAGTGTCAGAAACTCAGCTTCTGAGCTTCACGAAATAGCACGCATCATGGAAATATGGGTTTGGTGGGCTTAAGAAAGGCTACGACTCACACAGCTGCTGCAACCAGGCACCTCCTTAGTTTCCAATCCAGCCTCTCCTTGTGGAGTCGCTATTTCACAAAACGACCCCCATGCAGCTCTGGGGCTTACGTCCCTAGAGTTGCAAGAGCACCCTCAACCCAAAATACCTGTGCTGGAGACGCCGGCGATGTTGCTGGGCTCGCTGATCAGATCCTGCATGACGGCCAGAACCCGGAACTCGTACCACGTGTCCTACAGCACCAGGGACAATACCCAGTCAGCCGAGGGACCTGAGATGACCACTATCCCCACAAACACTCATCCTGCACACAGCCTTGCAAAGGGCAGGGTGCCCAAAGCACGAGAGGACTGCTAAGTGTCTAATGCTAAGTGATGGTAGCACTGGCCAATTGCTATGGTGTAAACACTCTTACAATGGCTGACTTCAAGCTACAAATGTGAGGTCACCAAAAGCGCTGGGAAGAGATATGTACAACAGGCTCTCCAGGGCCACTGGGAGCCCACTCCAGCAACCACTATTAATAAATAAGTGTCCAGGAAGGAAGACAGAAAGATAGATGAGATTGTATCTTACGAAACCAGCTGCTTCCTCTCCCCAGCTAGATATCCAAGTTTAACAGGGCTACTGGAAAAACGGATAATGCACTTTCCTCCAGGGACTCTAAATTATTGGAGATGGGGTCCTTCCTTGGACAAACCTAGAAGAGAATTCTTCTTGGAATTTCTCTGCCCATCCCAGGTTAGGCTTAGCAAGGGGCTGGGGTCAGTGCTCTGATTATGCCTGCTGGCCTCTCAGCCTGCCCTGCCCAGTTTGTGGCGGTGCTGAGGCCCTCAATAGAACACAGGTCCCTGCTGCCCCGGAGCTGGCCCCAAGCCTGTGGATCATGATCTGAGGAGTCCAGGCCTTGGTAGCGAGTCTGGGAGAACCCAGGACCAGTGGTGAGGAGGTACAGTATGTGGCTGGCCTCACACACCCAAAGTTGGTCACTCAAAGCTTCCAGTGCCTCTGGAGTCTTGTCACTTCCAGGATTTGGGAAGCAGCAGCAAGGAAGAGCAAGGCCCTCACCTGTGACAGATCCTTGGCAAAGAACTCTCCATCAGTGCCGGGGATGGCATCGTCCAGCATCTCCCAGCGCTCCCCGACGCGGAACTCCATGATGTAGCGGTCGATGGGAAAGCTGTGGTTGGCAGGCGGAAGCCAGGACAGGAGCACACCCTGCTGAGTCCGATTGGCTATGAGGCACCTCGGTGGGGTGACCAGCACCAGGGGTTCTGGAGTTGTAATAGGGAATGCTGCGGCAGGGGAGGGAGAAGAACCATAGCGCATCAGCAAGGCCCAGGGCGGCTGCCACACTCCCACATTCCCGTGCACACGTCAGGGCCCAGAGGGAAGCAGAGTCAGGGCCTGGGGGCCCAGGGCTTCAGGGTTCTGTCTTCAGAGTACGTCTAAAGAGCATACATGAAGGAATCGTGTACTGCGAAAGGGAAGAGAAATGGGAACTATGGAGAAGGAGGAATAATTAAATGTTATCAAAGTATCTCCTGTGCTCTTCCAGGGAGCTAGGGATATCTTCTTTCTCACAGCACAGCAGTCGCTCCTTCCATTCCCTTCTTGGCCGGGGCTTGGGGTCAACATGAGGCCCCACAGAGGTGCCAAGGACTGGAGGTGAGCATCCCAGACTGCTGTCTACCTTGGCGGAAGCTCAGGAGCGAATTCTGGGAAAGGGGCTGGAGTCGGGCCACCCACACCACCTAGGAAAAGCCTGTTCACAGCGGCCCTTTCTCTGGCTCCAGAGCAGAGCAAACACAACTGTCGCCAGGCAGGGAGGAGTATGAGACTGCCTCCAGGAAGGTGACTGGGAAGACTCCACAGTGGGAGGCAGCCACATGCCTACCGCCCAGTGAGGCTGGGGCCAAAGGCAAGAACCAGCAGGCGCTGTCAAGGAGGAAGGATGCCCAATCTCCCCTGAAAGCCACAGAAGTGGCAAACACGTGGCCTGACAAGGAAAGAGAAAATTCTAAGTGTCTTTCTTCCATCTGAAAAAGCAACAGGAACTCGGCCAACAGCACTCTGATGCGGGGCCAGCAAACCCCACAGAGGCCACAACAAATCCTCACGGGGAGATCAGACAGCATGGCTCCGTGGAACACTCAGCAAGGTACCCGGCACGCAGGAAACCAACTGCTAGCTGCCTGGGCCACTGCCCCCACCACCTCTACAACCCCGGCTCCCAACATCCCACCCCGGGCCCTCACCTAAAGTGTTCACAGTGACCACCTCACTGAAGGCGCTGGTTCCCAGCTTGTTCTGGGCCAGGACGCTGAACTGGTACGCTGTCTCAGGCTCCAGGGTATCCACCAGCAACCAGCTGGGTCCTGGCGGCACTGGCAAGGACAGCCAGTCATGGGGCCCAAACTGTGCCCGCTTCATCCTGGCCAAAAGAAAGAGACAGGATAGGGGACGAGGGGCGGGGTGGGTTACACTGGAGAGAAGAGGGTGCATGCAGGGTGCTCAGGGAGAAGGAACTGGTGGGCCTGGCGTTCCCAGGTTCAAGGGCAAGAAGAGGGCATGGCCCAGAGTGGATGACCTGCCCAGCTTTGACTGTGCCAATCCTCCTGATGCCGGGTGACCAACCGCAGCTGGCACCTTTTCTACCAAAGGGGCCTTTAGGTGCAAGTCATGCTCAGCACACTGGTCCAATTGATTACCAGCTGCACTAGCAGAATCCCACCCTGGTCAAAACCCTAAGAACAAGCTCTGCCTGGGGAGAGTAAGGACACTGGGGTGTGGGGAGAAGCAGTTCAACAGTGGTGGGATGAGGGAAGGAGCCCGGGGGACCTGGCTGCACACACCCCCAGGGACAGCCAAAGTAGGGCCTCGGGTAACCCACAGGGCTCATTCATCCAATCAGACTTGAGTCATCTGAGATGTCCGGGGTATAAGACCACAATGACCAGGGGTTTCCCCACAGTGGGGCCAGGATCCCTAAGGCCATAAGGGTTGGAAGTCACATCAGGAAGGTCACACTATGCATGGAGAGTAGGAAGACAGGGCCGAGGGTGTTCCCTTGTTCCACAAGCTCCCAACTCCCAGCAAAGCCAGTGGGCTATGGGTGCAGTGCCGCCACGTCACCACAAGGAGGAGACATGGTCCTGTGGGACTGGCCCTCTCCTTGCAGCCCTGAGCTGTAACCTGGTGGGTGCCCTCCAGGACCCGCTCCCAGGCTCCTGGCTCACTAACCCAGGAGGGTGAACTGAGGCAGCAGAAAGCAGAACAAAAAGAAGCCGGCGCCAAACGTCGGAGTCAGTACACAGAGTTAGAGGCAGGCAGAAAGAAAGGAGACATCCCCACCTCGGCCCCGCCCTTCCCTGCCCCAGGCAACAAAGCAGCGGAGCCACGTGTGGAAAAGCAGTGCAGACGAACAGCAGCGTGGAGCAGCGCTGCAGGCAGCAGGGGAGCCCCAGTCCACGCCTGAGCCCCCCGTCGGATGTCCAGACCTCCCACCCAGGCATCTCCAATGACAGCTTGGCCACACCAAATGTCCCACCCTGGCCACCAAGGCACTGAGCAGCACCAGTCTCGCAGCAGCCACCGGGCAGGCTGGTTAGGGCCCCCACGCTGCTGCGGGAGGAACAGAGTAAAGGGATAGGAGGTGAGCTGCTGCAACTCCCATCATCTAGGTGCAGTTCTCCAACTCAGAATCAAGACACCCAGGACACTCTGTCTGAGAAGTAGCCACCGAACCACCGTGATGGGAGACAGGGCGGGTTCCCCTCTCAACTTCCCCTGCTGCTGAGAAGTGGATAAAGGGGTCTCCCTGAACCCCCTGAGCTGCCTCTGGCACCTGCCTTTTCCTCCTCCCCAGGCTCGAGTTAGCTTGGCTGGAGAGACACGTGCAGGCGAGACAGGTCTAAAAGAAGGCACTGAGGGGCTCACCCTCCTAGCTCAAGGCTGTCACACCCGGGGCAGGGTAGATGGCTGCCACTCTTGACTCAGACAGGAGTGTGGGGAGGGGCAGCCCTGGGGGGATGGGAGGAGTCAGCCAGGCTTCTGTCTCCTCCCCTCCTGTGCCTCCTGCCCTCACCCCGCTTGGCACATTTTTGAGATCTCTATCTACCGTAAGGTTTGCGCAAAGATCTCAAATCACTGCATCTGGCTAAACTGACAACAGAGGAATGAAAACAATCGAGAAACACATGGTCCTAGAGAGAAAATGCAGGGGCTGACCCCAAGGCCGGGAAGTGAGCATCACCCCTCCACACCAGTTTCTGTGGCCACTGGGGAAGAGACAGAATAAAAACCAGACCACAGGAGGTGGGGAGGGTGAACACGTACAAAACATAGTGAGAAAGAACCAGTAAGACCTGGTATTTGCCAGCACAACAGAGGATTACAATCAACAATAATGTATCATACATTCTTCAATCACTATGAGTATAACTGGATTGTTGGAACACAGAGGACAAATGTTTGAGGGGTGGATACCCCTTTACCTCGATGCGATTATTACACATTGCCTGCCTGTATCAAAATATCTCATGTACCCCATACCTATAAATATATGTACCATGTACCCACAAAAACTACAAATACAAAAATACAACAAAAAATTTAAGCTCTAAAAACTAGACTCTACACTTAAGGCTGGGCAATTTCACAAAGCCCTTGAAGGGCAGAAGTCTCTTCCAGGCTCCAGAGGAATCCAGAGGAATCCAGAGGATGAAGCAGGATACAAAATGAGGCAGTAGATGAGCAGGGAGAAGACACAGAGAGGCCCAGACCCCTCAGGCCACAGGGACACAGCCATGCCCAGAGTCCCTTCAGACCCCTCCCGTCACCCTCAAGGACCTCATCACTGTCTCAACCCACCTCACTCTATGCAGGGCCAGGAACTGCAGCCTCCTCCTACCTCCCCCCACCCAGGATGGCCTGCAGGCAGATGTGGGAGGGGAGAAGCAGAGAGCAAAGCATGCCGGGGTGACTCACAGAGGTCCGTACCAAACTGAGAATGTCTGCTCGTAGCCTCCATCATAGCCTGGTTCCCAGGACACGTTGGCAGTTGTCATGGAGACCTGGACCCGGACACTGCCCGGGGCATGGGGGCTGGTGCCTGGAGATCAAGTGGAGACCTCTCAGACTGAAAAGAACTCAGCCATGTGGCTGGGTGCCCACCGTCTCGCTGTGGGGAACCTGAGAGGCTGAAGCGCATGGCAGCGGAGCGCAATATTGCAAGTGAAGGGATAGGGGCGACGGGGTGCTCTTAGGTGCTGACTCCCCTGACCCTACTGGTTAGTGGGGTTGGAGCAGGAAGTCTGTCCCACTGTGCGGTCTAGTCCAACTAGGAGATCACATAGCATCAGGAATGGGTCCAATAGAAACCAGAGCTCTCCTCGTCCTGGCCCAAATCCTGTGCTTCTCTGGTAAGCACAGAAACACTCCTAAGGTCGCAGGCACAGCCACAGAGTCCCCTCCTGTTAAGGTTCTCTGGCCTCAGGAGACACCCCAATGCCGGCGTGTGGGCAGCACAGCACAGCAGTCAGGAGCCTCATCCTGGCTTCAATTCCCGGATCCACTACTTCTTAACCATGTGACACCGGAGAAAGCGTTCGGGTCACGCCAACCTCTGCTTCGAGGAACATACACTAGGGAAAGCTCAGCTCGCACCTCCCGAGTTGTGAAGGACGAGCTGTGCAGACCACTTAGAACGGAACCTAAAACTGGTGGTAAAGGCTCAAAAGGCGTTGCCTGTGACTGTGATTGTAGCCATCAGGACCCAGGACAGGCTGAGAGGGTCCAGGCGAAGGTCCTGGGACACGCGCCTTGGGCAATCAGAAACAGGAACGCCCAGACACAGAACACCAGCAACCTCCTCCTGCCCAGCCTCCGCACGCCAGGCCTGGCCTGCAGGTCTCAGCTCTGCCCTCATCTGAGATGCTGCACAGTCCCCGTCTCCCTCATTCCAGTCCTCCAGCTTTCCCTAAGGCCCTTAAAGGCTCTGCAGTCCCTTCCAGCCACACAGCCACCTCTTTCCCAGGTGGGCTGCTGTGGACATCAGGCCTGTCCCCAAAAAGACCTCCCCGAGGACAGGAGCCATGCTGCCCTTCCCTGACAGAGCCCACAGGGGCAAAGGCTGCAGGTGCTAGACTCGGGGCTCAGGGCTGGACGGACTTAGGAAGGATGCCCAAAGAGTGCGGTGGCCACCAGGGGATGCCCCCAGCGTCCAGCACCCCACCCCCAGCCAGCCTGTTCTGGCCCCACTGCCCTGTCAGACACGTACCGATGACGGTGAGGTGGGTGCTGGCAGTGATGCTCGTGACCACGTTGGTGGCAACACATTCCCACTCCCCGTGGTCCTCCTTACTCAGGGCACGGAACTGCAGGCTCCCACTGGGCAGGGCACTGTGCTTGCTTCTGCTGGGCTTCCCTACCTTGGTGAACAAGGGGCAGGGAAGAGGGCAGGAACAGAAATGGGGGTGAGGAGAGAAGCCCGAAGTGGATGGGAAGGACGCGCCTGAGACCCCAGCCCACCCATGCTGCCCCTCCTCCTGAGTGCCTGCTGCTCTTCAGGGTCAGCTCACTGCTCGGCATCCAGCCTGGTCAGGGCAGGTCCAGAATAGAACTGCTCACTGTGTCCTCACACCTCCCCGCAGCCCCAGGAGCTCCAGGGCCCAGCTACCTTTCTCCACGTGATGACAGGAAAGGGGTCCCCCGCAGCCGCGCAGGGGATAAGCAGCTCCCGGCCGGCCTCCTGCCTGTACTCCCAGCCTGGTAGCACCGTGAAATAGGGGGGGTCCTGGGGAGGAAAGCACAGGCACCCTCATGAGGCCGGGGATCCAGGGTCCCAGCTCATGGAGGCGGTCACAGCCCCAGGACCTCACCTTCAGGACAAGCCTCGCAGGGGCAGACTGGCCCATGGTCCCCAGGGTGTTGTAAGGCACACAGGTGTAAGTGCCAAGAGCCTCCTCTGTGGCCTCCTCAATTCGAATGGAGCCATCCTCCATCAGGGTCCAACCCAGGTTCTGCCAGACACAGATGATAGAGCAGGGAACGCTGGTCAGAGACTCCATGCTCCATCCCAGGCTGGGTCCCAGCTGGGCCAGGCAGCACGTGGGATGGCATGCAGCTCCAGCCTGGGGTGGGCGGTACCCACAGACCCCCAGAGACCAGAGACCCCTACGGAAGCAGCTCTCTGTTTGCCCAGGGCTTTTGGAAGGGGCGGTGAGTCCTGACAGAAATCCACAGCCCAAGGTGGCATCACAGTACTGGGGGGAGCCCTCACTCCATCCCCCAACACGCATCTCTCTAGCACCTTCTCGACCTGCAGGGGGCGGCCGTCCTTGTTCCACTTGACCACGGTGGCTGGTGGTTCTGCATCCACAGGGCAGCGGATGTAGCCATGGATCCCCACGGGCACATAAATTACAGGGGGCATGTTGAGGACACGGGCTGGGTCTGCACAGAGGAAGCACAGGTGGGAAAGCAGACAGACACAGGGAAGAAAGGTGAGAATCCAGGCCGGAGGCAGCCCATGCACCAGCCCAGGTACTCGGAACTTTGGTTCTGAATGTCTGGAGGCACTCAAAGGCACGTCTGAGCCTGCTCCCATCCTCAGTGCCCATCATGCTTCTGCCATGGACCTCACCCACTGAATGAGGTCTCTCAGTGCCCATTTCCCCCAGTTCCTAGACCCCGAGCCTCAAAGCCAGCATTTGCCCACACCCTTTCCCAACAGCTCCTTATCCCAAAGTCTTCTGAGCAACAAGCAGTACCTCCTCTCTACATCCTAAGCCAAAAGAAGAACACTATCATAGGCTTAACCACAAAGGGGATATTTTTCCTCCCCATTCTGCTGGTTGTCCAGCCTTCCTTAGATTCAGTTTCCCCATCTGATTCTGCAGTTGAAATGCAGAATCAGGCCAGGTGCAGTGGCCCACACCTGTAATCTCAACACTTTTGGAGGCAGGGGTGGGAGGACTGCTTGAGGCTAGGAATTTAAGACCAGCCTGGGCAATTTAGTGAGACTCCAACTCTACCAAAAAAAAAATTTGAATTATCTGGGCATGGTGGCACACACCTGTGGTCCCAGCTACTCTGGAAGTTGAGGCAGGGGGATCACTTGAGCCCAAGAGTTTGAGGCTGCAGTAAGCCGTGATGGCACCACTGCACTCCAACTTTGATGACAGAGCAAGACCCTGGCTCTTGGAGGAGCAAGAAGAACCTCACACCTCTTGTGATGCAGGCTGAGTCACCTCCTCTCAGTACTCCCCTATTTCCCCTGAGGGCTACGGAGGAGAAGGATCCAGAACTAGGAAGGCAGTGAGGATGAATGAGCTGGTATCTTTTAAGCATTTTGAGCTCTTCAGAGAACAGCATTACATAAATACCAGGCCGAGTTATATATTTAGACATAGCTTCCTACTTTTGTATGGTAGAGTTTTTTTCTTTTTTTCTCCAAGGTTTTCAAAGGGTTTATGAATGGGAAATACTCTGAACACTGCTTTTTAGCAGAAATAAAAATCCTTGTCTCACCCACCTGTAAATCTCAACCCCCTGGATTTTCTTTGAAGACAGGAAGGAGGTGAAAAAGGACAAGGGGGAGTGGGTGGTGACGCTGGCGCTGGGGAGAGACAGGGAAAACCAAAACATGTCTCCAGAAAGACAGATGGCCTATGGCTTCGAGGAGGGGCCTTCATCCTGGCCAGCTCGTCTTCCAAAGGCCACCTCCTATTGGCTCCTCCTGCCCCACCATGGCCACCTCCGTGCCAGGTGGCACAGCCTGCGTCCAGCACAGAGGGACAGGGCGCACCTTTGTGGTGGACGGGTCTCTCCTTCCTGCAGTTCTTGCCCACCCCAGCACAGCTTGGGCACATCCTAAGTCACGTATGAATAACTTCTCGACTCGCTTTTTCCCGCTGCAGGTCTGGGGAGCGAGATCTGTTGTCCTGGGCCTCACGGCTCTCTAAAGCTTGGGCCTGGGGATACAGCACACCAAAAGTCCTTTAAGTGGCTGACGGCAGAAGCAGAGAGGCGATGCACTCCATAGAGAGGAAAGGGTGAGACTGCAAGGTTAGGGGTCCAACGGGGCTCAGCAGGCGCAGCCAATAGTGGAACGTCCACATCCAGCTCTGGGCAGCAGTCGGACCAGCTCCACCTCCAGGGCCACCAGCCATTCTCCACTTGTCCTCAGCTCATACACTGACCCCAGTCTCATCTCCAGACTGTTACACTTCTCACCCCTGCCACTCCCTGTCACTGGGTGTGAGCAATCCGCCCACACCAGCCGGCAAATGAGGGAGAGTCTGTTGTCTACAGCAACAATGCCAGCCTTTGTTGCCTGAGTGACAGGGCCATCCACAAATCAAAAGGAGGACATTACTCCTCATTACTCATCCTTCTCTGTCTCAGGGCTCAGCTTGCCAGGGGGCGGGAAAGCAACTGGCTGCTCAGTATTAAAGATCAGCAAGCTGAATGGTGGTACTTGCACAAAAGCCCTCGAACATCTGGGTGAGGAGCAGCTCATTCATCTGGATCTCCAGCCACCCAAGAGGAGAGGCTGCAGAAGCCAGAGTGAGTGGGCATAGGAGCTGCAGCACATCACCCCCGACATAGACACGGTGTGGAAAGGCAGGGAGTAAGGCTAGGAGAAACCTAACCCTGCGTGGGCCTGGGCTATGCTCCGTAAGACACCTGAGAAAAGAGCATCAGAGAGCAATTGGTTCTGGCCACAGAGGTGCAGGCCAGCCTTCAGCCCGAGGAACGCCATTCAGAAGGAACTGCTCGAAGGTGTCTTCCTGAGTGCAGCCTGCACTGAGCTGATGAGATGCACTGGTTGAACAGCGACGCCTGGCCAACGAAGTAGGAGCTGGTCCACCCCGACTGGCCAGGGCCTCGGCCTCGTCTCCAGCCGTCCCTCCTTTTTCCCTCATTCGTTCCTCCACCCACACACCCCCAAATGATGCTTGGTCTTTTCTACCCTCCAGCCTACAGTCTGGCTAACACCAGAACCTTCTGGAAGCCCCACCACCCAGGCTCCTCCGCACCCCTACTCACACTGCACCGTCAGGTACGCTGAGGCGGAGGGGGAGCGCCCCAGGCTGTTGCTGGGCACACAGGTGTACTTCCCGGCATCCTCTGGCTTCACCCGGAAGATGATCAGGGTCCCATCGATTAGGATGCGCACCCTCAGCTTCAGGTCACTGCAAAGCGGCACGGGGACAGGGGTTTGGGTGAGCAGAAGGGGGTCTTGCCACAGACACACAGTCACCATCACTGCCCCAGATGTGGCATGGAGACCCCATGCCCCTGGCATCCCCAGGGCCCCTCCATGCAGACCCTGGCCTTGGCATGTGAGACACACGAACCAGATCGCCCACCTCCCCCAGCTCCAGGAGCCGTGGGCAGCCTGCCCATGCAATTTCTGCTCAGGGGCCCTGCCCGTGGGGACCAGGGTGGCGACCTCATTGAAAAGCCAGAGCAGGGCGCTCACTTCTGAAAGTAGACGTTCTCGTCCTGCCAGTACCAGGTGTAGGTGAGGTTGCCCGGATACGCCTCTGCCCGGCAGGTGAGCAGAGCATCCTGGGAGATGTTGACGGTGATGTTCTCAGGAGGGGAGACGATGAAAGGGGGCCCTGGGGAGAGCAGGGAACAAACCTCACCTCGCCTGATCAGGGACGGCAGCAGCACCCAGGCCTCCTGGGAGCCCTCAGTGCCTCAGTAAGGGGTGTCCTGAACCCTGCAATGGGGGCGGCTGTCATGGAGACGCTTCCAGATGCTGTCTGTGCTCAGGCATCCTGTCCACTGCCCCTGCTCCTGCACCTAGCTCCCCAGACCAGCCGCCACACACACCCCTTTCCTGCCCGCCTTCTCCCAGCAGAGCCCAAGCCAGAGATGCAGCAGGGAGAAAGGCAACTCTTTTCAAATCTAGAGCAAGGAATACTCCAGTCTCAAGGAGTCAGGGCCGTATGCTGCTCCCCAATCAGAAATCAAGAGGGCAGCTGGGGGTGCAGGGGCTGAGGAGTAAGCAGAGGGTGAAAGTCCAACAGTCCTGGTGCTGGCTGCACAGAGAGGGCAGCTGTGGCCAAGTCTCCCCTGAGAGGGAACAGCTTCCATCCAGGCTGCTGAGGGACCTCTGGCCCTGGTTGCTGCTCGACACTCATAGGCAGGAGGAGCATGCAGCCGCCACCAACCCCCCAACCCCAGAGTTCCTCCAGGAGGCAGGGCTGGGGAGGCTAAGCAGGGGGCCGAGCTCAGCACAGGGTGGAGACCCCCCCGACCTGGACGCTGCCCTATCCTGCTCAGTTCCTGGCCCCTCTTGGGGGACTCTGAGGCTCCAGGCAGGGCAGACTGGCATCTCCCTGTGCTGACTATACAGACCCCAGCTCTGCCAAATGCCCACTGTGTTATTTAAACGTCTGGGGCTTGGATTGAGTTTCTATCTTTATTTATTGATGCCGTCACTAATGGATAGACGACCCGAGGGAGGTCTCCTCTCCCAGGGAGGCGGAGATATGGTAGAGATGCTATCTGAACAGAAGGAGAAACCAGAAACCCACACAGCAGGGGCCTCTCTGCCACGCCATGTGGTGCCCGGCCACGGCCTGTGGGCCTGGCCCTCTCCCAGGCAGCCAGTGCGGGAGCTCTGACCAGGATAGCAGGCGGCACACAGGGGCCCCACACAGGTCCTCATGGCCACCTGCACCTCCACCTAGCCCCAGATGAGCCCTGGGAAAATGCCCTTCGTAGCTCAGCCGGGCTGGACATCCCCGCACGCGTCCGGGAGTGGAGAGGCGGAGGAAATGGCTCCTACCTTGGACAAGCAGGTGGGTGGTGTGGACAGCCTCCCCCTGAATGCTGTACGCTCGACAGGTGTAGGCACCTCTGTCCTCCCGACTGACCGATGTCACTGTCAGGCTGCCATCACTCACCTGGGGCCAGAAACAGATGGAGCTCAGCACCCACGCTCGCACCCACCGCTGCTACCCTCCAACAGGGAGATGCAGTCAGAGATGCTAAGGTGGAGATGACCGCAGGGACACATGCATCTGGGGGACACGAAGGGCAGATGCCCCCTTGCCCACCTCCCACCAGTGACACAGAGACGCCTGCAGATGAGCCAGGCCATGGCTTTCCAGCCTCCTCTGTGCTTGTGCACGTAGCATCAGGGGTCAGCTGCAGTGGGAGGCTGCCCTGGAAAACAGACTTCAGCGGCCCCAACCTAGAACCACACTCACCTGGTATTTCCCACTAGCACCGAGGAGTGTCCCCTCCTTGAGCCAGGTGACAATGGGCTTGGGGTTCCCAAAAGCTGTGCAGGTCATGGTGATACTACCACCCTCCTTGGCCTCGATGTACTGGGGGGGTGTTTCTGTAAAGGTGGGAGGGGCTGCAAAGGAGACCACAAAGGTGAAGGACACGCCATCAGCCAAGTCACTGCCCTGCAACAACAGTGCCTGCCCCACACATCACCCTCACTGCAGCTCTGCGGAACGCAAGGACAAAGGAAGGAAGGTGGGGATGGGCAAAACGTTCTGCGAACCACCATTACTGGCAGGGAGACGTGCATCCAAACTCAGTCTGGTGGGGTCCAAATTCTGCACTGTAGCTTATTCCCAGTTCACTGCTGTTTACTGAGCATCTACTCCAGGGTGGCCCTTCAAACACTGTCTGCTCCCAGCTCCTCAGGCTTTCCTACCATCCTTCAGTCTTTCCCTTTATGATGATCCATGACACTCAGGAGCTTCTACTTCTTGAATCCCAGCTCAGCCAGGCCCCCCATTTCCAGGACACTTGCCGTCTGAGCCCCACCAAGGCCTAACACAGATGCAGGCCAAGGCTATGCGGAGCCACATTTTCCCAGATTCTGCTGAGAAAATCATTCTGCTTCCTCCCTCTCTGGCTTCCACGGGTGAAGGTGGACAGCCCACCCAAAGGCCACTCCCTTCTTCATTTTCCTCTGATTATGCCAGGTCATCTTCCCCCCTGCGTTGGAGATTTGATTAAAACTCCATCCTGTTTGGATAATCGGCTTTTAACAGACTCAGTCCCATTTGCCTGAGCTGCTTGTAGAAGCAATCCGGTCAATCTTAACCCCTTGGACTATCAGTTCCCCAGTCTTCTGAGAGGGCAAGGAGGCCCCCAGTTCTGAACTCCGGCCCTGAGGCCCACAGCACTAGGCTGGCGCAGGTCAAGCTGAGCTCATCTCAAGGTACGTGAAGCTCAGAACCCAAGTTCAAGCACTAGCCTGCCACTTCTGGTAGCCTTGACAAGTTACTTGGCCTCTCTGGGTCTTACCTAAATACCTAAATCCCCCACCCTCCAGAAATGATGTGAGGAATAAACATGTAAAAAGGAGCTTGTAAAATGTACAAATTGCCAGTAACACCGCCATCACTATCATCTCTTCCGGAGCCGCTGAGACACTCACGGGAAGCTTTGGGAGGAGTCGCTCCTCCCCACACAGCCCTGCCCCGAGAACTAGTCACGGTGCTATAGGATCTGGTCCTGCCTGTAGCACCAGCCTCCTCTCCCTCCCAGCGCACTCTAACCACACTGGCTGTCTTTGTCTTCCTCAAATGCGCCAAGAACTTCTGACCTCAGGCCCTTTGCACGTGCGGCTCTACCTGCCCAGAACTACGTACCTGGATCTCCCTCCTTTGGTTCATGCAAGTCTTTGCTAAAATGCTGCCTGACCTGGGCAGCCCATCCCATCTCAGATGGCACTTCCAGCATTCTCTGCTCCTTGGTGCTGTTTCATTTCCTTCAAAGCACATGTCATTTACAAGTCTCTGTCTCTCTCTCTGTGTGTTTACCTGTTTCTTACCTGTCCCCTTTATTAGGATGGTGGCTCCTTAAGGGCAGCCCCGTTTTGCATATAGGTCACCACATGCCCATCTTTTAGCATAGTTCCTGGATGTAGTAGCCAAGGGCTCAGCAAACATTTGTCGAATGAATGAAAGAATGAAACAAACAAATGAGTGGTGTTCACACATGCACAGACCTACAGGCCAGCACCAGTGCAAACACAAAACACTTCTTAAGAGCAAGACCATAGTTACACCACTTTCATCTCCCATCTCCGAAGCCTGCAGCTCAGTGCAAGCACATCAGGGGCACACAGGGGGTGGCCACTGAATGAATGCAGGAGCACGCGTTATCACAAGCAAAAACATGCGCCTCGCACGTCCTCGCACATGTCACCACATGCAAAAACATTCGCCTCGCACGTCCTTGCACACGTCATCACATGCAAAAACATACGCCTCGCACGTCCTCGCACACGTCACCACATGCAAAAACATACGCCTCGCACGTCCTCGCACACGTCACCACATGCAATAACATTCGCCTCGCACGTCCTCGCACACGTCACCACATGCAAAAACATACGCCTCGCACGTCCTCGCACATGTCATCACAAGCAAAAACATACGCCTCGCACGTCCTCGCACGTCACATGCAAAAACATGCGCCTCGCACGTCCTCGCACACGTCACCACATGCAAAAATATACGCCTCACACGTCCTCGCACACGTCACCACATGCAAAAACATACGCCTCGCACGTCCTCGCACACGTCACCACATGCAAAAACATACGCCTCGCACGTCCTCGCACACGTCATCACAAGCAAAAACATACGCCTCGCACGTCCTCACACACGTCATCACATGCAAAAACATGTGCCTCGCACGTCCTCACACACGTCACCACATGCAAAAACATACGCCTCGCACGTCCTCGCATGTCATCACATGCAAAAACATACGCCTCGCACGTCCTCGCACGTCATCACATGCAAAAACATACGCCTCGCACGTCCTCACACACGTCACCACATGCAATATTTTACGCCTCGCACGTCCTCAAAAAAATCAATTCTTATCCAGTGCCTAAGAATATACTAAAAATAATGGCAAAAAGTCAAAGTCCTTGTAAAGGGGTCCTGGGATCCTCACTTGCAGGCCTCTTCCCACTGAGAGTGTGTGTCCATCTCCGACACAGCCTCTCCCTGCCCAGCCTGCCCCTTGAAATACAGTTAACACAGACACTGCCTCTATTACGCCTGGTGCCAAGCTTAAAAGAAAAGATAATAAATTAAATTTACATCCTGAAGTGACAAATTACTTACTAACTACATAATTACTTTATTATTTAGGTGCTAATCAGGAAAGTACGTTGAACAATTTCTAGTTTTCAGGAAAATAATGGTTTGACTCTCAATTATTTACTGAATTAGATGTTAGCTTGCCAGCTGCATTTCCAGGCTTAATTCTTTTTTACAAGTGCCCTGTAATTAATAGTGCAGGTTAGTAATAGGCTGCCCTCTCCTCCACGTAATTCACCAACCTAAAGGAAGGCTTGGCTCAGGCTTTTGGGGTATTTTATATGTGATAAAGAAATAATTGGGTCTGTTTCCACCCAACTGGTCTTCAAAGAAAACACAGAAGGAAAATGAGACAATTTGTAATTCTAATTGTTCACTGGCCTTTCATTTTCCAAAGGTGATCCCTGTCAGAAAACGCCTGACATTAAACATTCTAGTTTGAAAGCAACGGAATGCTGGTGCTTGGATTCCTTCCTTCAATAACGGAACTATTTATGCTGGAAGGAGCCTCGAACTTGGGAAGAAGAGAAAGGCAGAAGAGGAGAAAGGAGATCTCTCACCTCGGAAGGGTTGGTTCTGTTCTGCCCGTGTGCAGGTAGGTGCCTTGATTATGGAAAAGCATCGTTTATCGCCAGCCCTGGTTCTCAAGCCTGGAGCAGATGGTGCACCATCCCCAGCTTTCCCGCCCAGCACTTCCCTATGAGCAGCCTACCCACGTTCCCTGAATGAGCCGCTCTTCCTGCTCTGGGCTTCCGAGCACGCTTGTCTCCTCTGCCTGGAGGACCCTACCCCACTTTCCACCTGCACATGATGACCTTCCCTCCCTAGCCAGGTCTCTGAAGACAGGCCATTTCTTCAGAGAAGCTCTCCCTCCTTTTGCTCCCAAAGCCATATTGCAGTAATCTCTGGATGTGACAGTCTCTTGAAGTCTCCTCAAGACCCAGGACAGGGTCATGCCTCCTGCTGTATTCCCAGAGCCTGCCACAGAGTGCACGTCCAAAACTATGTTTCGAATAGATAATTGTTGGTAGATTCGCAGAACTACCAAAGTCCTCTACACCTTCCGGCCTGATATCCCTGCTACTAGATTTTCATCTGACTTTGTTTGTTTCCTCTTGAGAAGGAGGATGGCCAGCATCTCACACATAATTACCCACATGTAATTAACACTCCAGACACTGTGCAAGATCCAGCATTTCACTTAGTCCTCACAACAACCCTGCAAATCGTAGTCGCTGCTTTTGTCACTGAGGAGCCGGAAGTCCGACAGGTTAAGTAAACTTGCCCAGAGCACACAGCTAGCACACAGTGGGTCTATGAAATGAACCTCATCTTTTAAAGGTCTTGCTCCATGCTTATTCCACTCAAAGCAATTATGAATTCCCAAAGAACCCACTCCCACTCATGCAAACTAACACAGATACGCTCTAGAACATAAAATTGAAGTGAGATTCTACTTTCCAGTCATACGCACGTCCACTGAATGCCTGGTGTCTCAGATTCCTGAAATGAACACTGCCAACCAGGATATGCAAAAGAACGGAGGCAATGCCCCAAGATGGTTTCACCCCACCATTCAGAACAGAGCACAGGAGAGAAGGGAAGCAATGTGGGGACCCTCAGCCTGGTGTTCATCGAGGCAAGATTTTAGCAGCAGATTTGCCTTTCTAATTACACTTTGCTTGGGTTCCTATTCTTTGCTCACGCAACAGCTGGCACCAAAAGGGGGTGACTCAAAAGTTTGGCAGGTGGTCGGAACAATCCCCCCAAAGATTTCAAATATGCTTCAGTCAGTCTCTTGGGACTGATTGACAGGAGCCAGCCACCTCCCACAAGGAGGGCTGGGCTAGGCAGGCTGGATGCACACCAGCCTAGGGCCACAAGCTTTAAGGTTTCTTTCCCCAAAGCCAGTGATCTTGCTAAAACATAACATACTCTGTTCTTCCAGGACCCCAGACAAGTTCTCAGGCCCAAAAGGAATACAGGTCTGCCCCAGCCCCGCTAGGCAGGGCAGACAGAGCCATCCTTCAGGGCAGATCAATACTGAGAGAAGCTTCCTAGCCAGGAACATCAATTTCTCTATTCTAACCACAGCATCTACGGTCTCAATGACCGTAAGCTGTATGTGGCACACCCAAGCACCCACGCTGTTGAAGCCTCAATAACTAGTACAGTATCTGCAACACAACGATGGCTAGATACAAATTTTGGCATCAATGGAATAATGAAGGATATATTACTAATTTTTTGGCCAAAAAACGAAAGGAAACGTTTTTTAAAACCTGCTCCCCTCCCACCACGGGGACCGCTTCTTCATCTTTTCTCCGTGGTTCCAGTCTTCTAGCTCCTCCAGAGGACCTCCTTCCAGGGACACAAACAGGAGACTCTCCCTCCAGGGAGACCCCGAGGACCCAGCCCCTAGTGCTGTCACTGCCGGGGACTCAGGCCCCCGTCTAGCCCAACTCCCGGAGCTCAGCAAGCTCTTGGGGCTTCCTTGCCCTTACCCAGACCCTTGAAAAGCATCTTCTCCAGCACAAGTCATTTAACCTGAGTTGTAAGTAACTGATGCCCATTAAAACTGTGACTCTTCCCAGGATGCTTGCATTTTACTACCTGGTAAACCCCACACAAGCAGGGACTGTTTGTCAGTGTTTCTCTATCGTCAGCTGCAGAGCTGGACACACACTATACCCTTGGTACATACTAATCAAATGTGGTTAAAGAGAACCAAAATATCAATCTAAAAAGAAAGACTAACTCTGAGACCCCAGGAATTCCACCAGAATTGGAGTAGCAGGGTCTTCCCAAGGCTGAGAAATAATCCCAGCAGTGACCAATTTTGCCACCTTAAAGCTTCAGCCCTCTGATTTGAAGCAGCAGCTTCCCACGTCCCTCTAAGGACTCTGACAGCACCACATGTGCAGGGAGCTGCTGCTCCAGGGCACCTGCACTGCCTGCAGAGGCTTCGGGAAGATAGCAGAGGGACACTGCAGGAGCAAGCTGATGTCTCATGGAACCACAGCAACAAGGAGAGGGCCATGGGGTGGGGTGCGGTTGGGAGAAGGGCTTCCCCTGGGGCAGGCCCTCGGGGCAGTCCTCCAGGCCCACCCCAGAAACAAGCCTCAGGCACCACTGATGGTGAGGTGGACCCACCCCGGAAGGAGCCCTCACTCACCGTTGATGGTGAGGTGGACCCACCCCGGAAGGAGCCCTCACTCACCGTTGATGGTGAGGTGGACCCAGCTGCCGTTGTGGAAGGTGTCATACTGCTGGTCCAGCATGAGCACTTTGCACTCGTACCAGCCCTGGTCCTCAGAGCGAACTTGTTCCAGCCGCAGAGATGCCTTATCATGAAGACTGGCCCGGCCTGGGGGAATAGAGCAGACAAAAAGCCCCACAGGCCATCAGGGAAGGCCAGCAGCTCCCCACCCTCTGCCCCAGCTAAAGACAGGGGACCCCTCACAATCTTCATAGCATTCCCTATGGCAGGGCCCCAGAACAACAGCTGGACCCACCTCCAGCAGCAGGTGGCAAAGGAAAGGGCCTAGCACCTTGGCCACAGAGCCACTCTCCCGCCCCAGCTGGCCCTGCCCCAGCCTGTAAGGCAACTCAATGCACTTGGCACTGAGAGCAGCCTCAGTTCCTTAGAATACTCTCATTCTTTTGGAGGTCTCCTGGGACAAAAGTAAGTCATGATGGATACAGAGATGAGAAGAGATGAAAGAGACAGAAAGAGAGAATGAAAAAGTGCCAACAGAAGAGGATGGGTGGGGGGTCTCCAGCGCACCCGGGAGCACCTCCATTCAGTTGAGCAGTATGCCTATCCCCGTAGGGTTCCCAGGACTGGCTCACCCAGCTTCCCTCTCTAGAGCAGAAGGAAGGCAGGCTGGGGACCAGGATGCTAGGGTCCCCTCCCGGTCCTGCTGTCAGTGCCAGAGAGACTACGTATCCTACCAAAGCCCAGTGACCCCAGGAGATGAGGGGGCAGGGCCCAGAAGCCTGAGAACAAGGAATGGGTTGACCCTCAGAGCAAACATCCTGGAGGCACCCTTCCTCAGCTCCAATCCCCCAGCCCAGTAGGAAGCCATCTGTGTCTCACATGCGGCAATGAGGAGGCCAGAGGTGCAGAGGCCCCTTCCATGACGCCGGCAGGGGGAAGCAGCCCTCAAGGTCAGCCCCCCACCTCCCCCACTCTTAGCTCACCCCTCACCCCAGCCAATATCACAGCACCTCTGCTCTCCTCCTTGTCCTGACGCTGGCAATCTGCCTAAAAACTAGACTCTCAAAGCCATCCCTGGCCAAAAAGAGAGCATGAGACATAGGCACAGGAGCGAAAGAGACAGGGACGGAAGCATTCTGAGAAAGGCAGGGCAGACCTCAGAAGCCACCAGCAAAGATGAAAGTGAAGGCAGTGCCCTGCCTGCTTCCTCCCTTCCTTTCAACCCCAACACACGCTCGCTCAATGACACGCACACGCACGCACACACACACCCACGCCCTCCTCTCCCGCAGGCTGGGGGGCAGGCAGTGGCAGTGAGTCATGAGGCCTTTGGTGGCAGGAGTAACTGCCAAGCAGGACACAGGAGGAGGAGAGGACAGCATGACAGAGGAAGCAGAGACCAGGCACCCGCAAATGGTGGGGGGCCGAAGATTCATCCATACATTCAGGATGGGAAGGAGCCCCGACTTCAGAGCCAAGAGGGCAGGGGTGGGTGCAGCCAAGCAGGGAAGCCACGCTGGCCCAGGGCTGCCTGACTCAGCTTCCTGTCCACTCCATCCCCTCTCCCACCCAGGCCTCTCCAGCTTCCCCTATGGCTCCCAGCCCTCTCCACACCCTAGGCGGGTTTTTAGGCTGCTTAGAAGGGCTTTACCCTGCATCACCTCCACTTCCCTCTCCTCCCACCGCTTAATTAGAACCTACCAGAGGACAAAGGATGGGAGGAACCAGGCAGAGACGGGGAAACTGAGATAAAGAGTGGTCAGGAAAAGGCAGGGGCCAGAGGGGAACCATGGAGGAGCTGACTCCAGATGGAGAAGGTGCGGGAAACAGGGTGCCCAGACCTTACCTGCATACTCAGGGTCCACGTGCGGGGGGTAGTAGCCAAACTTGATGAAGATAGGGATGGGGACCCCGAACTTGAACCACTCTACGACATAGGGTGGGGGCTGTCCCGTCACTGGGTGGATCACGTCGCATCGTAGGACCACGCTCTCCCCAGCTCTTGCCGTCACAAACTCGGGCTCCTCTCGCAGGCCGTGGGCGCCTGATGGGGACAGCCAGGTTGGACACAGAAAGCAGGTGACAAAGAGATCCTGCCCCAGCAGCCCCATGCCCGTGTCACAGGGTGGCCCCGCCTCCCACCAGCTGCCCTCCATGGGCTAACGTGCCCTCCAGGAGGGTCTCACGTGCACCTTCCATCTCTCTCCCCCTCGCTGCTCATACCTCCCTCTGTCCTGGGGCCCCCAAACATCCACAACTTGGGGGAAAGGAAGGGAGAGGAAAGGAGAGGGAAGCCATTCTCTTCAGTCCTACATGCCAGCTCTTCCCTCCCCAGTCTCAAAGAGCCGTAGGCGTCATCCCGCCGCACGAATTACAAGGAGTCCAGGACATGGAGGTGAGGGGCCTGGCCCCCTCTGGAGGCCCACAGCGCTGCCAGTTGTGGCTGCCTGTGCACATGAAACATTCTTTCTGCACCAGGACGCCTGCCACTACAGCCTGGTGGGAAACGACAGAGCCAGCCTTCCTCCTCCACCCCACCCCCAGCTCAGCCTGATGTGCACGGCACAACACAAGGGTACTCCATGCAGGAGCAGGGAAATCCCGAACACGCTCAGCCGAGGCTGCTCGTGGCAACACCAGAAGGAAAGCCCCGCAGGCTGAGCCGGCCTCTCCGGCCCCTCCTCCTAGCAGCGTGTGCCAGCCCTGCCCAGCAGCGTGTGCCAGCCCTGCTGCAGAGGGGGAGTGGGAGGGGCCCAAGCCCCAGACATCACCGTTAGGAGAGCAGCATGCTGGGGATGGAGGAGGGAGATCCCAGGGCCATCCTCATCTTGGGCAGAGGAAAACGAAATCAGACGGTGGGATAGGGCACACCCACCCTGGCTGGCAGCAGAGGGGGCGAGCAAGGCGGCAGGAGGGAGGACCACCCCGGCCTCCACCCCACCGCAAGCCAGAGGTCGCTGCAGAGAGGAAGAGCCACGCACCCCAAGCGCCACAGCACCACTCCCGGGCCCAAACAAGGCGTGCAGCCCTCCTCCCACGCCAGGCTCCACTGCCAGGCAGGGCCAGGGAGGCCACAAAGTCACCTTGTCCAGCAACGTCCCAGGGAAAAGGATGCCTGAGGGGAAGCCTCACCCCCTTCATTCCCTGGTACTACCCCCTACTCCCAACTGACCACAGCTTTCCCCAGCCCCAGACCCTTTTGGTCCCAGGCCGGGCACCCGACTCTCCAGGGCAGCACCTAGGACAGCAGCTGCAGTACTGAAGCGGCAGCTTACAGACAGAGAGCCAGCTGGGACTCCTGCAGGGGAGGATGCCCAGAGGAGGGCAGCACCAGTCCCTGCCATTCCCCATTCTGGTGCCTCGGTCTGACTCTCTCTGCATCTCAGACCCCTGTGTGCACCTTGCTGTCTCTTATCCCTTCATGTCTGTGTCTGGCCACCTCTGTGTGTCTGTGCACACGCACACACATGCCGGGTTCCTCTGTGTGTGTTTGTTCTCTCTCTCTCTCTCTCTCTCTCTCTCGCATCTCTGGATCTCTGTTTGTCTGTCTTACTGGCTCCTCTGTCTCTCTCTGGCTCCTTCTCTGGATCTCTGTCTGCCTTGCTGGCTCCTCTGTGTGTCTGTCTCTCTCTGGCTCCTTCTGTCTGTCTGCTGCCTATTTGTCTTGCTGGCTCCATCTCTGCGTGTGTGTCTATCTGTCCACCTCTCTCTGGCTCCTGCTCCTTCTCCATGTCTTTCTGTGTCTCTGTCTGTCTCTCTCTAGCTCTTGCTCTATGTGGGTGACTGTGTCTACCTGCCTATCTCTCTCCTTGTTTCTGTCTACCAGCCTGTGTGTGTGTGTGTGTGTGTGTGTGTGTGTGTGTGTGTGTGTTCTGGTTGGCTCATGCAAGGGGAGGGGTTCTGCCTGCTTCTCTGTATGCAAGGGCTCTGTCTCTGCATGTGTGTACTTCCCTGTCTGTGGCTCTCCGTGTCTGTCTGTATGTCATCTCCGTGTGTCTTGTTCTCCCCCTCCCCCTCCCCTGCAAGTTGCGGAAGAGGGAGGAGGCAAGCCCTTCCAGAAGCTGATTGGCTCCTGGTGACATCACTGTTTTCTAGAGAAAGAGCTAAGATCACAGAGTATTTTTGGAGCAGAGCAGAGCACTGCACTCACCTGCCTGAGGCCCCAGCAGGTTTCCCAGTTCCCCACCCCCAACCTTGCTTCAGGCTAAGTTTGCATCCCAGCCCCTCAGGGAAAGCAGGGAGAGTGCCCAGCTGCAGCCTCGCCTCCCCCACAGCCCCAGGGGCCCTCAGCAGGAGAGCCTGCCTCCCAGCAGCCAGGACCACAAAGGCAGATGCTGGACCAAGAGGAATGGGTGAATAATGAGCGCCATGAGCTTGCAGAGAAGCAGTGTGTGTGTGTGTGTGTGTGTGTGTGTGTGTGTGTGTGTGTCTACAGCACAGACCTGTGAGGAGATAAGAAACTACAGGAGCCTAGGGGAAGAGGAGGGAGTTATTCCCAGGTGCCATGTTACCTAGAGGAGGGCAGAGTGGGCAATAGAAGGTGGTTCCTCCCCAGAGCTTTGGCCCTAGGGCCCAGGCAGGAGGAACAGAGGCCTAGGGGGACAGTGGGCACCTCCAACAGTGAAGTTTTGCTCTGGTGAGCTGGCTTCCAGGTGAAGGGCTCTAGGGGACAACGCCAGGAGGTGGGTTGGCTTTGACATGGGTTCCCGCTGTGAGGCTGCTCATTTGCGCCTAGCCTGCCTCATTCTCACTGCATAGCAATGAGGCAGGCTCTTCAAACCTTCCCCAGTGCTGGGCTCCCACCCCAGGCCCAGCCAGCCCCTGGGCGAAGCGCTGAGCACCCAACCCAAGGCCTACCCCCAAGGCAGGCAGGCAGTCCCCTCCCAGCATCTCTTCCCAAAGACCCTTTCAACCAGGCAGAGGCAGCAGAGAGGACACATC